AGCACTCCTTAACACCAAGAAAAAAAAATTATTATTATTATTATTTATTTTTTGGGTTTGCGATTTTAAAAAAAAAGGCGAAAATTTTTTTTTTTTTGGGGGGGCATGGGGGTTTAAAATTTTGTTTTTGTTTTGTAATTAAATTACTAATAAGGAAGGAATTGATGGTGATATTGGTGGGTTTTGTTGTGCGCGTGCGTAATAAATATTTCGTTTGTCACCAATCATGATCGTTGATGTTGAGATGGTTGATTTTTTTTTTTTTTTTCCAGAACCTTGAATTTCACGGGGTTATGAGGTTTTATTTTCACGATTCCGGTCAAAGGATCGCCACCAAGTGCATAAGAGTTGCTTCCGATGCCACCGTGACAGCCGTCATAGAAACTTTAATCGAGAAATTCCGTCCGGACATGAGAATGCTTTCGGTACCCGAATATGCTTTGTATGTCACGCACGAGAACAGAGGTGAGTTTTTTTTTACTTCTTTTTCCGCCGGTTCGATACTCGAAACGACGTTAAAAATCTCTATTGTTTTTGTTTAGACGAAAGAAGACTGAATCCGGACGAGAAACCTCTGTTGGTACAATTGAATTGGCACAAAGACGACAGAGAGGGAAGATTTTTACTCAAAAGAATAGATGACAAAACGAAAGTAAGAAAGAAAGAAAAATAAAAATAAAAGAAAATTCGTCGAGGTAAAATTTGTCGTTAATTTAAAAATGTAAATTACAGATGCCGTCCGACAGCTTTCAAGAATCGAGCTTTCGTAGAAAATTATCGAAAAGGGAAAAGAAACAAATGAAAAAACAAGAGAAATTAAATAGATTGAAAAGTAGCGGAGATGCCGATGAGGGAAGCGTGGCCGAGAAATTATACACAGGTACGATGGACAAGGTTCTTTCTGACACCCGTTTAATGTTAATCGAAGAGTGAAAAGGAGGTTTTTTTGCGGTTTTTGACTTTAAAAGTGTTTTTTTTTTTTTTAATTTCTTTCTCTTTCTCCTCTCTCTCTCACTCACTCTTTCTTTCGTCTTACCTCCTTCTTGTTTCTCAAAAGACTCGCAGACTTCGCGACGTTTTTTAATCCCTGAACGTAATTGAAATATTTTCTGTTAGAAAGTGCTGTTTTCATTATTATTATCAGTACGTTAGTATTATTATTATTATTATTATTATCTGCATTAGGGGTAATTCGATATGGGATATATATATTCGATTCGTCGAGTGACGCAACAGCAAGCGAGCGAGCGCGTCTGTTGGCTGCCATGTGAATTTTTTTTTTTTTTTTTTTGCTCGAAATTCCCATTTGGGATGATAAACGCTAATAATAATAATCAAAGATTAAAATTTTTTTTTCTCTCTCTTTTTATTATAATCGTTTAGAGTTACCAGAAACTAGTTTCACTCGGTCCATATCGAATCCAGAGGCTGTGATGCAAAGGAGGAGACAGCAAAAGTTGGAGAAAAAACTACAGCAATTCAGGAGCAAGGTGAGTGAGAGAGAGAGAGAGAGAGAGAGCAATTTATTTTAGAACGTCGCGTGGAATGCGGAATGAGGAAAAGAATACATCGTTTACACATTGCTTAGACTGAGAAATGATAGAATTACGATAAGGCTTCGTCTCTGATAAAAAAGATGATATCGCGATTATTGAATTGAACTATGGAATGTCATCAAATGTTGATCGAATTTGTGAGAGTGACGACGATTTGCAGAAGGAAATAAAATTTAATAATAATAATAATGATTCGATTTAGAGGAGGAAAATCGCGCGTATAATTGAAATTAACATTATAACGTTTAAAATATATATAGTTTTTTTATTATTATTATTAAGCATTTTCCGCGTTGAGTCCGCGATTAAACGAATTTATCAAAAAGTTTTCGTTCTCGACAAGTATTATTATTATTACTTATTGTGTGCTTTTTTTTTTTTTTTTAAGGATGGAGGACCCGACACCGGGGGAACGTTGAAAATATACGGCGAAGCACTTTGCGGTGACGTTCCGTACAAAACGTTACTCTTATCCGTTGGCGACACGACAACTCACGTCGTAAAAGAAATGTTGAGCAAATACGGAATGGACAAGGAGGACGCTCACAATTATTGTTTGGTTCAAGTGAACACGGGAGATCCATTGGGTCCGACGGAATACATATTGGACGAAGACGAGTGTCCACTTGCAATATTAATGAATCATCCGTCGACGAGCGGTGAGTTTTATTATTATTATTATTATTATTATTATTATTATGTAGTTTTCCTTTCGAATTGAGTATTATTCACAAATAGTGATGGTGGTGAGGATGATGAGGAAATGAAATGATGGGTAAAATGTCGAAAGATTTGACTTGACTTTTTGTCTTTTTTTTTTTTTTTTTTTTGGTATTAAAATTTGATTTTGTTTTTTTTTTTTTTCTCTCTCTCTCTCTCTCTCTCTCTCTCCAATATGAAGTCGAAAAGGGAGCCGTCACCGGTGAGTTTGATTCTTCTAATGTGTTTGTGAATGCTTCGATTTAAATTTTATCATGTACCTGTGACGTAGTATGTAGGGTGTCGCGAACGCTGGATTAATGTTTTATTAACCGTTTTGCGATTGTTTTTACTCTTGTCTGTTTTGTTTGTTTGTTTGTTTTTGTGTTGTTTGTTTGTCTTTTTTTTTTTTACAATTATTGTTTTGTGCAAGGGGAGCAGTTGTGTCATCACGTTTTGAAATTATCATTTTCTCTCACTCTCTCTCTCTCACCGCAAAGGGGGCATAATATTTACACTCTCGCACTTTCTTCTTCGCTTCGAAATTTTTTAATGGGAACCCGGGGGAGCGGGGGGGACGTGGGGGATGGCAAGGAAATGTTTAGATTGTAGGTTATTAATATTATTATTTATAAAAAATTTATTAGGTATCTCTATCGTTAATAATTTTCGTACACCGAATATCCACCGTGCGAAAAGAAGAAGTAGAGGTAGTGGTAGTAGTGGTGGTAGTGGTAGTAGTAGTATCACTTTCTCTTTCCGAGATGACGGTTTTTATTGGTGCCCGCCTTTTCTTTTTTTTTTTTTTTTTTTTCTCATTAAATATTTTACATGCTTGTAATTTGTTTGTGGCTGGCAGGGAGGGAGGGAAGGAGGTTGGGAGGCAGGGAAGCACTTGCAGCTTTTGCTTTCTCATTTCTATTGTTTTTTTTTTTTACGCTCGTGATTTTCACATTTAAAAATATTAATAATAATAATAATAATGTAAATAATCCCGAAGGGCATTGCAAAAAAAAAAAATTGACAAATTTCGAATGTGCATATGTATATATATATATTGATTTGTGCATGTGAGAGGAGGAGGAGGGGGGGCGGGGGAAAAATAAGGAGAGTTTCAAATCGGTTCGGGAGGGAGGGAGGGCGTGTAAAAAAAATTATTTATTTAAATAAATAATAATAATAATTTTAAATAGAATATCCGCCGTTTACCGCCGCGAGCGAGCGAGCGACGTTGATAATAAACAAAACGTTCCTCGAGTATTGAATGTCAGTCATGCGCTTTTGCGCCCAAAGTGTCAACGGAAAAATTCTATCTCTCTCTCTCACTCTCTCTCTCTCTTTCTTTCTCTCTTCCCGTTTTCCCCGCGTTTTCCTGAAGTCGCATTCACGCAAATTTCATGTTTTTTCGTCACACACAATAATTGTTTTTTTTGACGAGTTCGTGATTTTACGCTGTTGCGGGTATATTTTATTCATTAAAAAAAAAAAAAAATGGCGCCGATGCTACTGATGGTAGCGAAAGTTGAGAAAAGGCCATTTTTGTTTTGTTAAGCTCGAATGTGCGTACGCCAAAGTCGTGACGGAAGTGAGCGAGTGTTAAGCGAAAAGTTTTAGTTTGTCGCGAGCGAACCGACGATGAACCAAACCGTTTGAGAAATTAATTTTTTTAAAAGGCGTAATTTTAGCTTTCGTTCGGGGAAAGAGAAACGTGGCACCAGATAAAACTCCGTCGAGCGAATTTAATATTAAAAAAAAAAAAAAAAAAATTGATTAGAAAAATGATGGATTGGGGAATTCGACGTAAGTTTGAATTTTTCCTTTTTTTTTTTTTTGCCTGTTGCACCTGAGATTTTTTTTTTCAAAGGATAATAACATTTATTTCATTTCCGTTTTCGTTGTTTCCTCCCACTTTCCCTCCTCCTCCTCCATTCGATTCAATTTCGAAATTAATAACAACATTTTCTTTTCATGCGTTTTTCCAATGTTGGCCTCACGCATTTTTTTCTATAATGCAGAAACGACGAATAAGAAACGGCAAAGTTGTTTGTTATTGAGGTCATCGTACAAAAAAAAAAAACGACGAACGCTTGAAGGGAAATTCTATTTCTTGTCTTTAAACCTGTTTTTTTACCTCTCTCTCTCTCTCTCTTTCTCTCTCTCTCGTGCCCCACATGAGGAAATATTCCTATTTGAAAAAAAAAAGAAAAAAGAAAACAAAAATTGTTATTTTTATAGGCAAGGGGGATTTCGTCGTTAATGTCACGGCAATGAAAAAATTTTATTTTATTTTAAAATAGTTTTTAATTTGTTTCATGAGTTTCCGGTATCGTTATCATTCACTTCCGGTTTTATCGATTTGTTTTTTTCCTTTTATTTTACCTTTTGGAAATGTTTTTATGAGACACGACGCTGATGCTGAACAAAATTATTTATATCGATTTTTTTTTTTTTTTTTTGCTTTTTCCATTAAATTATTCGTAAAAGGTAAAAAAAAATCAATTATCGAAAAAAAAAGAAAAAAGGAAAAAAAGGGGGAAAAAAAAAATGGAAAAATAGTTTGGAAAGTTTTCGGTTGGAAAATTTCATTCGTGCGAATACACGATTATTTTCTCACACTTTTCGGGTCACTTTTTTTTTTTTTTTGGGAGGAGGAAAGGGGGAAGGGTGAGTGGGGTTCGTTATTGTAATTATTACATAAAACCACGCGAATAAAATTTATCCTCTCACCCCTCTCATCCCCTCTCACCTCGCCGCTTTCTTAAAATAATAATGATTATGTTTTTGATTTAATGATGACGATGATGATGATGATGATTTGTTTGTATTTTTACACGTGTTAAGACACACACGCACACGTGTTTACTTTAAATTAATTTTTTTGCTCTTTTTTTTTTTGTATTTTCTCCAGTTTTTTCTCCAGTTCGTCTCATAATCGCTTTTCCTTTGGAAAATGAAAAAATTTTGAATTTCACACGAATTCGTTTTTACCTTTATTACTACAACAACAACAACAACAACAACAAACAATTTCAATTTATTTGTTTTCGATCAAAAAAAAAAAAAAAGTATTGAAATTTTAAACGGAATTCTTTGAATTATTATAATCGTTTGTTTATTTGTTTGTTTGTTTGTTTGTTGCGAAAGGTTAATAATAATTAAGGTTCGGGGGAGGGGGGAGGGAAGCAGCATGAATGTTTAATTAATTGATTTCCGTTTCGTTTGTTTTTCTTTTCTCTCTCTCTCTCTCTCTTTCGTCATGTAAAATTGAAAGGATTGCTTTTAACGGTTTCATTATCGTCGTCATCATCATCATCATCATTATTATTTTATTTATCCTTGCGTGGGCGAGGAAAAGCGGGACAGGGAGAGGAGGGGAGGGGATGGGGATGGATGATGTGATGTGAAAATATCGAACGGAACGGACGTTTTCATTTAATTTTTTTTTTTTTCAAAAGGAGGGTGCACGCGATTATTTTATTTATTTATTATTTTTTCTTTTTTTTTTTTTTTGTCTTTTATTTGCTCTCGAACGGTTTCGGTTGATTGGTAAAATGTCGTCGCGTTCTTTGTGAATTTCCCGGAGTTTTCTGTTGTGAAAACAAACGTATCTCTCTCTCTCTCTCTTCCGCGAAAGTGTGAGATTGATAATGATAGGAATTTCGTCTTTTGTTAATCTCAGGTTGAGAAATCCAAACGCTGAAGTTTTACTAGGTTCGTTATTTATTTATTTATGTTTCGTCAAAACCTGGAAAAGATTTGGGGTGGGGGGGGGAAATAAGTAAAAGTTTTTACCCGAATTCCTTTATGGCTTAAACACATTTTTATTTGTGTCATGGCGCTTTTCGTGTCGTTTTTTCAATGTGCACATATAACACAGATAGTGTTTGCATCATTCCTGATGGTATCGTTGATAAATTTTTCAGGTTCAATAATGTTTCACGTGAGACGTCGTCCCGCGGATTATCATCCGAGAAAGCGTAAAAAGAAACCGCAGCAAAAATGGCAAAGAGATGTCGATGGAAAATACGAAGATGGACTTCCATTTTTTCTCGAACTTAATCCGGGTAAAAAGAAAAAAAAAATCAAATCTCATTAAGATTTTTTTCGGATTCGTTCGGAAGTTAATCCGTTCGTTTTTTTTTTTTTTTTTTTTTTTTTTTTTGTTAACTAGACGGAAGCGAAATCATGTCTGGAACGGCTAAACGTCACGTACTTCATCCGAACGTGACGGAAGTCGGTTTGGAAAGAACGGGAGGTCCGAATCTTCAATTGTTCGGACCCAATATACAGCCCCGTCACTGCGTCATTGCTCACACTGACGGTCTAGTAACCGTCACGCCATGTTCAAGAGATGCAGAAACTTATGTTAACGGACAAAGAATATACGAAACAACGATTCTTCAGGTAGTGCCACGATTTATTTATTTGTGAAAGTGATGTGCTGCCATGATTTTATTTTCTCTTTTTTTCTAACTCTTACGACTCTAGAACGGTGCCGTTGTCAAATTTGGAAGGATTCACAATTTTCGATTTATCGATCCGATGGGAGATGATCGGACGGGACGAAACAGACATCCGGAATTCGGATACGACAGGTTATTATTATTATTATTAATTAATAATTTTTTTTTTCTTTGTTACGTATTGCTTTTTAATTATTATTATTATTTTAAGCACCGCGAAAACATTTTATTTATGTGTTCAATTTTTTTTTTTCTCTAATATTGTGATTGTTGTTGTTGTTGTTGCACGAATGTTTTTTTTTTTTTTTTTTTATGTTTTGCATGAAGGTTGTCGAAAGACGACAACAACACATTGGTTCATCCGTCAAACAGTAATTTAACAAATTACGAGACGACATTCGACGTCGACGGTAACGTCGAAACCGTATCACTCAAAGACATGGATTCAAGGTCGCAAAGGAGCATAGCGAGTTCGAGAGATGGAAACAGGTCGGTTTGATTATTTGTTTTGTTATTGGTTGACCTGTTCATGTCTGTCTTCTGTTTTTTTTAAAAAATTGGTTTTGAAGAAAATCTTATTATTATTATTATTATTAACATTACAGGCTGTCAAATTACGAAAGGTATCCCAGGGGCAGTGACCCCATATTACCAGCTGTTTTGGAAATCCGCGAAGATGCCGAAGAAGCATTTTTACACTCCGTAATCATCGACCTTGATCCAAACGTTCCGGCTTTTAAGGTAATTGACAAAAAAAAATTGTTTGTTAAGGTTGTGAATAATTTATTATTCGACCGATATTTTTTGACATTCCCCCCCCCCTGTTTCCCCTCTCTCATTTTTTTTGCAATTCGATAAAAAAAAAAAAACGGGGAAAATTTTTTCGCAGTTGGCACCAACGTATACTCTATATTTGACTGCAAGATACAGAGCGTCCACTCACTACAGACCGGAACTCACTCCGACGGAAAGAGCTCATCGTCTAACGGTTTTGCTCGCGAGGATAGCTTCAATGATACAGCACGTGGTTCAGGTACGTATCTCTCTCTCTCTCTCTCTCTCTCTCTCTTTTTTTGTCTTGAAAAAAAAATCGGGATGATTTTTTATTCTCGGGTTTTAGGAACGATATTCGGAACCGAAATCACTCGCTTTTTGGATGGCCAACGCCTCGGAATTGCTTCATTTCCTCAAATGCGACAGACACATATCCGCTTTTTCCCTAGACGCTCAAGATATCTTGGCTGAAAGTGTTCAAATAGCTTTTAGGTGAGCATTTTTCCCCATTTTTTTTTGACGGAAGTCGTTCGCTTTGAAATCGTTCGAACGTTCGTTATTTATTATTTTTTCCTTTCGCAGAAATTTGGTTGCGTGCCATCAAGGTGAATTGACTTCAGCCATGTCGCATTTCTTATCGGAAAGAGACGATGCTCCGAACACAGTTTTGCTCGTCTTATCATCGGCCATGGCTCTTTTGCGAAGGTGTCGCGTCAACGCGGCTCTTACGATACAATTATTTTCCCAATTGTTTCATTTCGTTAAAATGATGGCGTTTAACAAAATTGTCACTTCGCCCTCTCAGCCTCAGGTAAGACATTGTTGTTGTTGACTTCGTTATTGCAAAAAAAAAAAAAAATCGAGTTTGAAAATACGATTGATTTTTTAAATATAGGGCATCAATTACTGCAGTCGTGCATGGGGAATCCGACTCAAAGAAAGAGTTTCGCAATTGGGCACGTGGGCCGAACGTCAGGGATTAGAATTGGCTGCAAATTGTCATTTAGGACGATTAGCAGAAGCGGCTTATTTGTTAGAGGTAAAATTTATTCGATGCGACGTTGCGCGAGCGTCTTGATTTGGGAAAGAGTTTAAATAATAATGATAATAATTGTTTCAGGCTCCCAAATATAACGCGAACGATTTGGCGCAACTCAGTTCGACGTGTTTGAAATTGAATTCTCTACAACTTAGAGCATTGTTGAGAGGATATCAACCGCAGCACGACGAACCTAAGCTTCCTTTAGAATTAATTGATAACGTCGTGCACGTACGTACAAAACAAAAATTTCCCGCAGACGCCATTTCCGTTTTACGAGTTAGAAAAAAAATAATAATAATAAATAATGTGTCGATTTAATTTCAAGGTCGCAGAGAACGTGGCAGACGAGTTAGCGAGGTCGGACGGTCGCGAAGTGAAATTAGAAGAAGACGTCGAACTTCAACTTCCGTTTTTGCTTCCCGAGGACGGTTACAGTTGCGACGTGGTTCGAGGCGTTCCTCAAGGTTTGACAGAATTTTTACAACCTTTGCAATCGGCGGGACTTTGTCGAATGAACGTGCAACCCACGTCGAGCGGTCAGTGGACGATTTATATGACGGAACCGATGACTAATGTAATTTAAAAAAAAATTTTACACTTTTTTCGTTCGTTTATTTATTTACGCGCCATTTAAAATTTTTTTTTTTATTATCTACGGATTGTACAGTTGAGAAGTCCGAGTGCTATGAGCAACAGATTGCCGGCGACTCAACAACCGTTGGAAATTCAAACGATTCGTTTGCACAAATCAAACAACGGAATGGGCCTCAGCATCGTGGCTGCCAAGGTTAGTTAATACAATTTCAAATTTTTATTCGTTATTTTGTAAGAGAAAAAAAAATTATTTAAAACTTTTCTGTTTACTTGCTGCCACAACAGGGTGCAGGCCAGGATAGACTTGGAATTTATATAAAATCCGTGGTTGCCGGAGGAGCAGCAGACGTCGACGGAAGACTACAAGCCGGAGATCAACTTTTGAAAGTCGACGGTCAAAGTTTGGTTGGAATCACTCAAGAAAAGTAAGTTCCAATTTTTTTCCGCTTTTTTTTTGTAATTAAAGTACATTTCACGAATAAAAATTTAATTTCTACCCCCCCCCCTCCCCCTTTTTTTATTTATTAGAGCTGCCGAATATTTAGTTAGAACGGGACCTGTCGTCACATTGGAAGTAGCAAAACAAGGAGCCATTTATCACGGTTTGGCAACACTTCTTTCGCAGCCGTCTCCCCTCATGGCGAGAGGTAAGACATTTTTTTCTTTTTTTTTTTGTCTCCACGTTTGTCGGTTCGGTTTAATTCGTTCGTTTCGCTTTGATTAATTTAACTGCTAAATGCCATCACTAACTCCTAACTACTGTGCAATGCTTTTGCTAGCTAACAAGGAACAGGGAAGGCCGAATTCGGAACATTTCGAGAGAGACGTGAGAGGTCCGAATCCGTTACCATCTAGTTCATCGATGATGAATCTTCCGAGCAGAAAAGAATTGACTGGTAGGTTTTTCAAGAGTGTGATTAACGAGTATTATTTAACTTTGTGCTTATACTGCAAACTTGTGGGCTTTTGGGTATCCTCATTCCAACGTAACTTTGTTGGGCTCGGGATTTTTTTTTTTCTTGTCTTATCTTTCCGTAGCATAAGGATTATTATTATTATTAACGTACTAATGTTTAATTAACCATTTTTTTTTTTTTTCAATTGGTTATGTTTTTCTAACCGCAGGTCTTGCAAAAGGATCCTTATATGACCCAGTTTCCTGTAACCGAATAATATTACCCGATGATCCTTTCATAAATCCTCCCCGTAGAATTATATCGTGCGACCACGAAGACGCAATGGCCGTTCAAAGTCGTCGCGATGCCAATAACGTGCCAAAAGTGCCTAAAATAATTATTGATAAGGTAGAAGATGATAATGATAATGATGTTAATGTTGATGATGATGATGATGAATCTAGTTTTTCGAATGATTCCGATGATCCTAGTAAATCGAAAATATTTTCGCAAATACAACAAGTTAAATTTGTCAAAAGCGGAAATGAGGTCAATAGGTCTGGGGATTGTTTGAGTAAAGAAGAAGCCGAAAAATGCATTCAAGAACTTAAAAACATCGTCGCGGATTTTGAAAAGTGTACGATGGAGTCGATATCGAAACCCGGAAATGGGAAATTGACGAGTTTGAACGTTGACGAAAAAAAGGATGAAACGACGACGACATTTTCGTACAAAATGGACGCGTCGAGCATCGGCGGTTCGGATTCGGATGATTCCGACAGTTTGATTTACGAATACCAACCTTTGACGAGTAGTTTTTCGGATTTGAGAAAATCTCACTGCCACACGAATTTAATAAGAGTCGGTTCGGATTTGAGTCGTCGTAAAAGTTTGGAAACCGTTTCTCCGCCGAATAAACATCCGGTGAAAAAAGTAAAGAGTCTAGATTTTGAAGAAATGAAATCCGTCAAAGAGCGTAGAAAAATATTCGAAGGTTTGCAAAAGGATTCGAATGAAAAAACATTCGCGGGAATGAGAAATGCGAAAAACCTTTGCCAACATGACAAATTGAAAATCGTGGACAAGTACGAAACTCGTTCGAACGTCGCGGACCCCTTTCAATTCGCCAAAGGAAACGTTTCGCCCTCGAGGATTAATATAGGATTCGGAAAGGTGGCAGCATTGACAAAACATTTTTCCAAAATGGGCGACGCGGGTTTGATTAAATTTTTAAATTCGACTTCGACTTCGTCCGAATCGTTTTTGAATTGTTCATCTTCCAAATTTGATTTCCACCCCGGAGCCGATGACGATTTGATTCAAACCGTGACGAAATCCGCTCCGGATTTAACTTCGAACGATTCTCGAGATGATCGGACGTCAACTCATCACGATAATCTTCCGATAGCAAAGAAAAAATTAAGTTTGTCCAACATTAGAGGACAACAAGATTCATACGATTACGATTACAGTCTCATATATTCGTTGGGAATGAAAAAAATCGGATTTAGTTTGGATAATCTTTTGGGTTATCCCGCGGAAAATTTACTACTCTATGCGGATAAAACGAAATCGTGTTCGATGTTGAAAGAAAAGAATGAAAAAAAAATGGAAAAGGAAGAAGTAGAAGGAGGAGGTGTTCGTAAGAAGTTTCCGGAAGATTATATAAAAAGGAAAAAGAGGAAGATAAATCGTGATTCCGGTTTAATGTCAAACTTACAACTTCCGTTAGAAACAATTGTAAGAGATTGTAATGACACCTTATCGAAAGGTATTAGGAGTGTCTTGCAATTTATCGCGATTGTTTAAACTTTTTTTGTGTGACGTCACAGTTTAGAAAAAAACAACTCTGTATGTCGTCGCGTCGTACTTTTCAAATGCACCACCACCACCACCACCGCCATCATATTGTTTTTATTTTTCACTTCGATGTCGATTTTCCAACTCGAACACGCGTGAACACACACATCCACGTACGCACACACGCACAGGAACACGTCACACACACGTGAATTCATTGAACACGATGATTTTGGATTCGCTTGACGTATTTAAAAAAAAAAAAAAATTGTTTTTGAATGCTTTTTTTCGTGCTTTGACTTTGATTTTTAAATAATTAAGTCAGTTGATTTGTTGTTGTTGTTGTTGTCGTGAAAAACTTTGAAATAAGATGGAGGGAGAGGGGAAGAAAGGGAGGAGAAGGAAGATGTTACGCAAAACGACGAAAGATTGAAAAAAAAAAAAAAAGTTCGGGGGAAAAAAAATGGCGATAATTAAAAATTTGGAATGAATATAAAAGATTATTCTTCGGGCTCTCTGGAAACATACAAATAGATAGATAGATAGATAGATAGATAACACAATAGATGATAATTAATAATAATAGATAAAAGGACAGCAGCAGAAGAATTGAAATTTTTTTTTTTTTTTCACGTATGAAAATTTACCACTATTATTATTATTATTATTATTAATCGTTTGATTTGCAATTTTCCGAAAGTATTTGTATTTGCACGCAATAGTTTCGGCTTTACGTAGACGTATATTTATTTATTTATTTATTTATTTAGTCTATTTTTTTTTTTATTTTATTAAAAAAAAGGTTTAAATATGAAATTGAAATGATTTTCAGGGCCTCGTCGTATGAGCGAAAGAGATCTTCCTTCACGTTTACACTCCGAAGATGCCAAAAAACAACAATTGCCACCTCACGCCCCCATACAAAGTTCGAAAAGCGTTCCGTCTCTTCACAGTAAGTAGGAAATAACCCAAATATTATTATTATTATTATTATTATTAATCATCATCGTGATTTGCATTTACGGTCGTGGAATTTTTTTTTTTTTTTTTCACGCCTCGGTGATCAAATTTGATTTTTTTTTATTTTTTTCCACTACTCGGGGTTTTCTCGGTTCGGCCGAGCAGAACTTACTGGAGAAGAAGAAAAAAAAAACAAACGAATAAATTGCGTATTTTCGGTTTAGCAGGTGCGCAGGGTCCCGAACCACGACAACAAGAAGTTTTCAATCCGGGTTACAGCAGAACTTCGAGCACGAATAGCATACCGCAAAGCGCATTGAGATCGAGGTAATGATTTTATCGTTGTTTTATGTGCGTGAGTGCGTGCGTGCGTGCGTGCGTGCGTGCGTGTTATCGATAAGATTTCAAGGTCAAAAATGTGTGAAAAAAATTTTTTTTTTTTTTTTTGTCGTTAAAATGAAAATCAGGTCGAATCAAAATCTGAGCGAAATGCGTCCTCCTCCGTCGAAAAGTGTCGCGACTTTGCAAAGCGGTTCCCTTTATCCGACGCAATCGACTCCGAGTCTTCATCAGTCTCAAAATTATTCCGGACAACCCGGATATTCGAACCAAAGTGCACTCTCATACACGGCCAATAATTCGGGTTATCAACCCGATGCCACACCGACGAGGTGAGTTTCCCCGCATTTTAAGTGCGATAACTTCCGGTTTTCTTTTTTCTTTCTTTTTCCGGTAGTAAACAAAGTAGTCGAGAATAATTATTCGTCGGTTTATTAATTAGTTTATTGTTTTATCTGGGGTGGTTTTTCTGTTTTTTTTTTTACAGTAATTATCAGGGCTCGATGAACGCGTCCGTAACGAGTCCGTATTCGAACAATCGTACAAATCCAAACTACACAACGCCCGTCAGCAATTCATCGTCCTCCTACGTAGCGTCTCCCCCGATGGGAAATCATTACCCGAATCATCCCGCTGACGGTCAATATCACAGCACTCCGAATTCGAGTCAGACCGTCGTCAATAATCAGTATTCGATGCAGCAAGGTAACGCGAATCCGAGCGGTGGAGGTGGTAGTGGCGGTGGAGGCGGCGGCGGCGGTCCTTATCACGGCGCACCGCCTATGAATCAGTATCAAGGCAACAGTCCCGGAAACGGGAATCACTATCAGGGCTCACACGGAGGCGGTCAATATTTGGGAAATTCTCACAACGCGTCGTATCAGGGACCTCCGAGCACTTATCACTATCCGGGAAATCAGTATCAGGGAACGGCGGGACCTCACAACGTTTATCAACAGTATCAAAGTCCTCCCGGGAATTTTGCCGGAACGAACAATCATCATCAGGGAGACAGCGAAAGATTTTATCAAAATTTAAGCGTGTACAGAAATCAAGATGGCTACGGGAAGAATAAAATTTTACCGCCCGAAGACAGGTAAGAAAAAATTTTTTTCCTTTTTGTTCGTTCGTTAAATCTTGATTTTGTTACTTTTGAATACGGTTCCGCCTTGTTGCTATTGAATTTTTATAATTGCTTCGGCGGATACTACATCCGGTCGTTCTTTTCTTCTTTTCTTTTATTTTCTCGTCTTCTCTCTCTCTCTCTCTCTCTCTCTCTCTCTCTTTCTCTTTCTTTCTTTCTTTCTTTCTTTTTTGTGAGGCAGTCGACGACGACGACGACGACGTCGTAACCTGCTAATTACATCACGTGAATTTTATTTCGGAGTTGTGTGAATTGTTTTCGACGGTCGTCGAGTCAGTCAGTTTATATTTAAACGTTCTCAGTGTTAATAATAATAAAAATAATTTTTTGTTTGTGTTATAAATAAAAATATGTATAAATTTATGGAAATGTATTTGGAATTTGGCAGGAGTCCCAATAATCCGCCTCTGACTCCATATTCTCCCGTTTCGGATTCATCATCGTTGAGGGATCGTCCGGCATCGGCGTACATTCCGCCTCATTCCGGACAGCATCCGCAAAATCAGGCAAGACAAATTTAAAAAATTTTATGGTTTATCTATCGAGTGCGCGAGGAAATTTTAACAATTTGCCTTTTTTTTTTTGTTAACGTGTGCACGGAATCGTGTAGGGTATGCACGGAAGATCCCAATCGTCTCGCGACATGTTCAGACAAGAAGCCAAATTTCAAGAAATGACGGAAGAAGTTCGCCGACGAGAATTGAGAGGTGGTCCGCCCCCGGGTCGACCCAACGTGTCTTTCGGTCCTCCACCGGTCGCTCCCAAACCCCTGATCGGTGAGGAATACAGGGAAAGTCCACCACCGCCGCCTCCTCCGACGACGACTCATCCCTTATTGCAAAAAGCCAACAGCACTCCCGATAATCGGTAAGTTTGATTGAAATTTTTCGTCGAGCGAGTGAATTTTAATTTTAATTTTTTTCCCCGAACGAAACAGGTATCAGGCGTCTCTCAGCGAACCGCCGCGCGGTGGGTACTACCCCGCTTCATCTGGTGACAGACGACAATATCCGTACACGGGTACGAATCCGTGGGAGAGAGAAGAAAAAGAAAAAGTACGTCGTCGTTTGTTTGTGTTGTCATTTTCGATTTTTTTTTTTTTTTTTTGGGGGGGGTTGATTTCGAATTTGATTTTTTTTTTTTTCCAAGGAACAAGCCAAAAGACGAGAAGCGGCGAGACAATGGCGAGAACAACAAATAGCCGAATTAAGCAGCATACCGTCGCGAACGTCTCAACAAGAGGAACAACTCAGAGCATTGATTTTGGAAAAAGAATTTGAAAAAAGAGCGGAAGAAGCGAAACACGAAGACGAGGACGAGGGAGAAGATGAATCCGCGGTCGTGGTACGAGAATTCGAAAATCGATCAAGGTTTAGAAACTTTGCAAAATTTTTTTTTATTTATTAATTTTTTTTTTTTTTTTATGAACGTGTTCGAACAGGAGAGCAGCGAACGCGTACAAAATTTACTCCGAATGGCTCAACATCAAAACGGTCCGATAATTCGTCCCGCGACGGCTTCCATAGCTCAAATGAAACTGGAAGAAGTTCGACGTCAACACGCTCAAGGTCAAACTTTGAATCTTCGAGTGAATCATTCGAAACCTCCGCCACCGGTGAGACAAAAACTAAGAAGATAAAAGAAAGTAGGATACAAACAAACAAACGAAAGAAAACAATTTCCGGTTTGTCATTGTTGCAGATGAACGTGAACGTGAACGTGAACGATTTGCGATTCGAAAACCTTTCCGTGAACGACACGCATCATCTCTATAACGATTACATGGAAGAAAAACACAACGGAAATCACGCGATGGATCGGAGTCCGTCATATCCGAGTCCGATGCCAAACAACGTCGGAGTACTGAAGAGTCCGATAAATCCGATGACGGTGCAACCGACGAAACGTGTGTCGTTCAGCGATCCGAACGCGAATCAAATATCCAATCACAACAATCTAAACAACACGTACAACAACATTAACAATAACAACAACAACCACAACAGTAGTAGTAGCGGAGGCGGCGGCGGCAGCAACAACAGCAACCACCACCACAACAGCAGTAGCAACAACAACAATAATAATAACAACAGCATGGAGAAAATAATTGAAGATCCGAACGTGAGTTGTGAGGGAGGGAGGGAATGAATGAATGAATGAATGCGTTCGAGGAATGAGAGAGAGAGAGAGAGAGAGAGAGAGAGAAAGGGGGAGGTAGTAGTTCAAAGTTTAAATTTTTTTTTTTTTTCTTTTTTCCTTTTTAGAATTTTATAAACGAAGCTGAAAATCTTCTTCAGTCACCGAAAACACCCGAAGGAGCTCCGTCGTTTGCCGGTAACACACCGGGGGTCATAGGTGCTCAGGAAGTGTACAGGTAGGTGAAAGGTTTTTTTGAAAAATGTGAAACGAGAACGAATTTGGATTCCGAACGAGAGTCGCGTCTTTTGGTTTCAGGGATCCAAGGCAAAGGTTACTCGCCGAACAAAAGCAAAATTCAACGCCCAAAGTTCCAGGACCGGAAAAATTGAGTTTCAAGGAAAAGATGAAAATGTTTGCGATGGAAACGGGAGAAGATGGAACGCCGAGAGACAAAGTGAAAATTTCCAGAGCTCAGAGAGACATTGACAACATATCGAGTCCTCTCGGCAACAGTTAAAAAAAAAAAAAGAAGGAAAAAACTGGAACGGAAAACTCTGGAGAATTATTGATTTTAGCCCCTCCCCTTTCCTCCTCCACTCCCCTCCTCCTAATCCCCCTCACCCTTCTCGATTCTTCTTTTCTTTTCTTTTTTTCTTTTTTTTTTTTTTTACTTACACGTCTGGAATATTTGTATTTGACCACCTTTTTTTTTTTTTTTTTTTTTTTTGATTTTTTTCCAGCAAGTTTTGGGTTGGGGAAAAAAAACCTCTCAGGCGAGTACGTTGTTTTATTTAGAAAAAAGAAAAGAAAAGAAAAGAAAGAAAAAAGAAAAAAGGTTTTATTATCATATGTTCAAAATACGGTAATGTAATTATGTTAATAATAATAATAATAATAATAATAATAATAATAATTAAAGCAAGTATTTTAAATTAATTTAATAATATAAATTTTTTAAAATGTCCTTCATTAAAAACTTTTGTTTTTCAGAGAGAGAGAGAGAAGGGGGGTGTGTGTGTGTGTGGGGGGGGGGCCCGGAGAAAATGGAAAAGTTGTATTCTTACACACAAGGTTAATTAAATGATTATATGTGTGTGTGTGTGTGAGTGTGCGTTCATGAACGCGGGTTTAAATCTAAAAAAATATATCGATCGATATATCGTTATCACGATTTCGATACTATCGTTTTTATGAATAATCGATAACGTGATAAAAAATTTTAACGATTTTTTGCCGAATTTTCTCTCCCTCTCTCTCTTTCTCTATTGTTTTTTTTTTCTCGAATTTGTGTCCGAGACGTTTTTTCGTAAATAATGAATAAGTAAATTGAGCGAATTTGATGAGCGTTCGCCGCCATTTTGTTTTTTTGTTTTTTTTTTTAACGGAAAATAACGATCGATTTCATTTTTTTTTTTTTTAAATCGAATTTTTATAATTGACCGACGATGGAGGGATGATTACGAATGAAGGGAGGAAGGGGGAGGGGGAAGAAAGGACAAACGTAATGTGAAACGAATGATAATGATAATGATAATAATATTGATAATCACACGTTTTCAAATCGAACAAATCGTCGGTTTTATTCTTATTATTATTATTTACAATTTTTTAAATTAAAATAATGGCCGAGAATTTTTTTATTAAATGATAATAATAACAATGGAAAATGTATTTTTATATTTACAAAAATTTTTGTGGTTTTTCACACAAAAAATAATAATAATAATAATAATTTTGTTTCTTTTTTCTTCTGTTTCCGGTTTGTACGAAAAAGAAAAAAAAAGAAAAAAAGTTTTCTCCTGGAGAAAAAAGGAAAATTCAAGATGGTTCCTCTTGTCCGTGTTTGGATTTAACGTGCCTTTCCAAATCTCGTCTTCTCACTAATATTTTTCCACAAAATCTACAACTGGAATAATAACGATAATAATAATAATTGGGAAGAATTACGATGAGGAGGAGGAGAAAGAGGAGGAGGAGGATGATGAGGATGAAGAGGAGGACGTTACACGAAATTACGGAAAATTTCGTTAAAAGTAAGAAAAATGATTAATAATGATAATAATGATACTTACTTGTATGGTGTTTGTCCTTTTGCGTGTAACCGAACGTGTTTGTTTAAATTGCTCGGATCACCGAACGGTCTTAAACAATATTTACATTTCAATGGTTTGTAACCCGTGTGAGTCCTGGAGGAAAAAGAAAAAAAATTTCGTTATAGATCTGGAGAAAAAAAAAAACGATCAACGATCGGTTTGGAGAATATTAATAATAATGATTTGATTAATTAATTAATCATTTCCGGTTTGTCGTTGTTGTTGTCGTTTCCTTTTACCTTATGTGTATTTTAAGACCGTATTTTCTAGAATAAATTTTTCCACAGTAAATACATTTGTGACCGTTATCAGATTTTCCTAAATTTGAAAAAAGTGTTTCCATTTTATAAGCTTCATCATTTTCGTCTTCTGCTTTGTCTTCTGCTTTTCTTAATAATTTTCTTTTATCAAAACGTTCGAATTTTGATGACGTTTCGGTTGTGGTTTTGAGAATATTTTTAATAAAAAATTTTTCTTTTTTTTCAATCGTTGATGATTCGCGAGTTTTGTCGTCGTCGATGACGCGGGTATAATCACTTCCGATTTTTAAAAAATCATTTTTCCGATAAGGCGGTGACGACAGTGACGACGACGATGACGACGAATGTCCGAAACCGAATAAAACGGATGTTAAACCGAACGGAAATTTAAAAAAATCATTTTTGAACGGTTTTTCCGATGATGATGATTCTACAACGGTTTTTCTTTTGTACGGTTCGAACGCGGACATAATTTATAAAAAATAAACCGAACTGTATCGTATGACGTTCGCGACTTGACACGTTCATCTGACGATTAATATATAAAAATGATATTAAGATTTAATTGAATTTATATTAATAATGAAATTTTTTTTTTTGGATGGGTTTGAAATGAGAGAGAGAGAGAGTACTTGGGGTTGTTCTTTCTGACGTTCTGCCCCTTTACTTACATACTTTTTTTACCCACTTTTGATTTTCGGGGGTTGAACTTTCTCGAAGGGTTTTCAATAATTTTCGCTTTTGCTCTTTTCGTTTTTTAAAAAGGGAAAAAAAAAATTTTCTCGAAATTTCTTCGTTTTTCGCTTTTTTTTTTTTCTATTAAAGAAAAATATATAATAATAATAATAATAATAACGTGGAATTTATAGTGTGTGTGTGTGTGTGTCGCGCGCAAACGGATGATGATGATGATGATGGGGTGTCATGGTGATATTTTTTGATCATCCCTTCATACACTTGTGCGCGACCCATTTTACGTACGTAACACATACGAGATGTGGGGGGGTGAGTGACAACAAGTGTTTCCTTTCTCTTGCAAATCACAACATTACCTCCATTGTTGTTGTCCCCGACGATGATGATGATGACGGTCACTATGAAAAGCGAACGTAATAACTAAAAATAAGGGAAGGAACGTGACGTTCGAGGAGGTTATGGTTAGAAATTTTGGAGATGGATTCAATGCGGTTGACTGTGGTTATGGTTGTTGTTCTTGTTCTTGTTGTTCCCCCGATGATGATGATGATGATTCAAGTACCCAAGGATTATATCTTTGGCTAAATGATTCAATATTGATGTAATGAGATTTTAACAAAGGGTCGAAGACAATGGGTGTCAATATCAAACATATGGAACTACCCACGGACACCGCAAAATTTTGATTTTTAATTGAGATAAAACACCAGATAGCTAATGGAAATAATTTAATTCCAGTTTTCCCTCCAGAATTTTTTTTTCCCAAAATATTTTGGAAATGAGTCTCTGAACGAACCCCGTTCGGAAAGAAGAAGAAGAAGAAGCGTTCGCATTTAAAAAAAAAATTTTTGTTTTTTTTTCTCCAGCGGGATTCTTCAGCGGGGGTGCTGGAGAAAAAGCGGGAGGGTTTTACACATACCCGTTTATGATAAAAACGTTCCGACCTAAATTTTTTTTTGTCGGGGCATTAGATTAATTAATAGTTTATCTTAAAATCGATAACAATTGCGACACGTATCGTTAATAATTTTGTTTGTTTCCAGTTTTCCAGTTTGAAATCATTAACCTCGATAACTTTTTTTTGAGTGGGAGGTGGGTCGTGGAGAGGGGGGGTGTGGTTTGCACGGAAAATGTTTTTATATATACGTTCCAGTTTGTACGCGTGACGTAAAAAAAAAAAAAAAAAAAAAAAATTAAAAGTTGGAAAAAAGCGATGCTGGAAAGGGATTAAATATATTTAGGGGTTGTTGCGACAGGTGCTGGATATCTCAGTGCAAACCACTGCCGTGTCGAATCATCTATAACCACCCTTCGGCATTAGCCATTTAAATATACACCCCCTACCCCTTGAATGAGAATTAAAACGAGGAGACGACCCTTTCGACGATCCTTTCCAGCGAATCTTTTTTTTTTTTTTTTAACTTATCGTTAAGATCAATATTGTTATAATGAATTCCATTGTGTTCTCAGCTGTTGGAAAATCATATTAACCGTAAAGCTTAAAAAATTAACGCATCGGTTAATTTTTCATTAAAAAAAAAAAAAAAAAGAAAATGGCCGTCACGTGACCTTGCCTCCGTCCCAAATATTAAAAACGATTAGGTATGTTTTGTGTGTGTGTGTGCGTGCGTGTGTCGCAAACACGCGAATCGTCAATCGTTTGCAAGTAGGAAATTAATAAAAAAAAATTTTGTTCTAAATTATGGAAGTCGTGGAACGAGAAAGAGAGAGAGATAGAGAGAGTGGGGGGAGGTGGTGGTAAGTGCGGGTGTTAGATAAAATAAAAAAATTATTACTCACCACAAAATCATTAATATTTTGTTTGTTTGTTTGTTTTTACATTTTAGAATTTGTTTTTTCAAATTTTTCCGATTTTACGTCACCATCAATTTCTTCTCCTTGTTCACCTGGAATTTAACAAAAAAAAAAAAACGAAATTATTATTATTTTTTTTTCTGGAGAAAAGAAGAGAGAGAGAGGGGGGGGAAACTCACCGAGATTTTCTTCCATTTTTTCTCCAGCAAAATAATCACCCATCGATGTGTAAGTTTCCGCTTTCGTTTCCAAAATTTCTTTTATTATTTCTGGAATTAGAAAAAAATTTTTTTTAAAATTGTTTTTTTGGAAGTCTGGAATCGATGATAATGATGATGATGTTGATAATAACCTCCTAATATGTCTCGGCTGCTTATCATTTTAGCCAATTCGTTTTTAACTTCCGCCATTAGCCAGGGCATGAATTGATGATCGACATCCGATTTGATTTCGTCTGCTAAGAAACCGGCATCTTTAAGACCTTCGAGAACGTTGGGTACCAATTCGGCTATGTAACCTTCCGACAGCATAGCAGCAGCAACTCTTTCTTCCGTTTCTTTTTGTAATTTAAGAGCTTCCGCATGTTCTACCATACGTTTTTCCTAAAGAAATGACGTAGTATTATTATTATTATTCGAATTTGAATTTTGTCGCGAGTGACATTTCGAAATCTAACCTTTTCGTCGGATAATCTTTTCTCTTCTTCTTCTAATCTTTGTTCTTCTGCTTTTTCAGCAGCTCGTAATTCTAAGAAACGACGTTGTTGCGCTCTTAAATCTGCTATTTCTTCTTCTTCTAAAACTTCGATCAATGATTGTTCGACGGTTTTACCAACTAATACTTCTAATATCGGCGTTACTTCCACGTCGAAATCAAATAACTGTGGGGAGGGGAGGGGAGTAATAAAAAATGTGAAAATGTTTGTGACGTGTAATTAGATTAATTAAATAATAAATAACCTCTCCAGGCCATATTTGCGTTTCTTGATCGAATCCTGTTTTTGAGGGTACGTATATCGGCGTCGGGGGTCTATCTAGGAAAAGATCCGTTTGGCAAGCCGCTTCCGTTTCCAGTGGGCGATCGTATATTTCTTCAAGGTATCTTTCGGTTTGTACAGGTTCGTGTTTTCTTCCACCGACGGGAGGTGGCGTACCCATTCGTCCTTGTATGCAATAACCTTTGGCTTTCTTTCTAGCGAGTGCTCTCCTTCTTGCTTCTCTTCGTTTTTCTGCCAAAGTTTCAAAACCTTCCTGGAAAAAAAGAAAAAAAACACCATCGTTAAATTTTTTTCTATTCGATATATTTTTTCATATCCGTTTTGTTACGGATAAAAATCGATCCTTCGGGATCGGCTGGAATTTTTGAAAAAAAAAAAAAAAAAAGGAAAAAACTTACCTGGAATTGCGACATTGTTAACGTTCTGGCATAACCAAAATTTGGATTCCATTTCGGCTGCTAGTCGCAACATATTAATTACTTTATTATTATTATTATCATTTTTTTTTTTTAAATGAAATCCTGGAGAAATTTGAAATGTAAAAAACAAATTTCGAAAAAGGAAATGACGTAACGCATTCATTTTTTTATTTTTTTTTAGGGATTGGAAAACATAACGTTTAAGCTATAATTTCCAGTAATAAACTGGAACACGTGAGGGGGAAAGTGCCGACGCTGGAATTTGAATGAAATTTTAATTTAGGGGGTCGTAATTTTTTTTTTTTTTGATTACTGTTATCGATTCTTCTTTTTTCATGGAAAAAAAATATGAATTGTAATGATTTGTTTTAGCAGGAGAATCGTTCTCCAGCCGAGAGAGAGAGGGAGAGAGATTACGAAGAGGAAAAATTCCTGGAGAAAGAAAAAGAAAGAAAAGAAAACTCACCGTCGGTACGGGGTAGCTAGCAAAATTACAACCCCGAACGACTCTCCTATCGAACATGATGTTTCCATAAGGTAAATTGGCATCCCTGAAAACAAAAAAAAAATTAATTAAAATAAAATTTTATCGTACCTAAAACCGAAAAAAAAAATTGGGGAGAAGAGAAAGAAGGGGCAGGGAAGGGGTAAAAGGGGGGCAATCGATAAAATTCACATGGAAAACAAAATTTTTTTATTTTTTTTTTTGGAAAATTATTGTAATTATAAAAGTGTAAAAATAACGTTCTGGAGTCGTAGAAACTAAAAAAAAAAAAAATGTTTCGGTCGTTTTTTTTTTTTTTTAATAATTTTTATTAATAATAATAATAATAATAGGGATTAATAATTTTTGGTTAATAATTTATTAAATAATTATGTATGTATGTATGTATTTATTTATTTTTTTTTCCATTATTAATTGCATGCGAGTGACGCGACACAAATAGTCAAAATAAGCCCGACATATATATATATATATATTTATTTTTTATATAATTAATCGATATACGAAATGGAACATGTGACGAAAGTGAGAGAGAGAGATAGAGTGATTGATGAGAGTTTGAAAAAGAGAGAGAAGAGAAATCGGTGAGAATTTGAGGGAGAGAGAGAGAGAAATAAAGGAGTGATCGGTTAGAGTTTGGGAAAAAGTAAGGGAAAGTGTGTTGATTTGTGAGGATTTAAGAAAGAGAAAGAGAGAGAGAGAAAGGGGAGTGATGGGTGAGAATTTAGGTGAGAGAGAGAGAGTGATCGATTATTAAGAGTTTGGAAAAGAGAGAGAGAGAGAGAGAGAGAACGAGAAAGGAGTGATCGGTAAGAGTTTGAGGTAGAGAGAGAGCGAGAGTGTGTCGATTTGTGAGGATTTAAGAAAGAGAAAGAGAGATAGAGAGTGAAGAGAGAGATCGGTATGAGTTCGAGGTAGAGAGAGAGAGAAAGAATATGACAATCAGTGAAGATTTGAGGGGGAGAGAGAGTGATCGATTGGAAAGAGTTTAAAAAATAAAGAAATAGAGGAGAGTTACCGGTGAGAATTTGGGGAGAGAGAAAGTGTGTCGGTTTGTGAGGATTTAGGGGAGAGAGGGGGAGAGAAAAAGAGAGAAAGAGAGAGAGAGAGAAAATTAAATTAATTATATTTATTTTATTCACTGACCTATCGCAATTTAATGATATTTTGTTTTGTCAAAAGTAACCCAGGTTTCAAGCAAGGACGTTGACTTTAATGAAATGAATTATCGAGGGGAAGGGAGGAGAGAAATTAGGTAGGGGAATATAATTAAGGTTATGGAACGAGTGAAGGATACTCCATCGAATGTGATTACCTCCCCCTGTCTCTCTCTCCCTCCTTCAACCCTCCAAAAAAAAATTTTATTTTTGATCGAAGGATTAAATTTTTAATTATTGATATTATTTCACCGAATGGGGTGTGGGGGAGGGGAAGGAGCACATTTGTAATTTTTCTTTTTCTTTCTCCCATTCTCCTCCCACGTTTTTTTTTCTCCATAATTTTAATTTTTATTACTATTAATATTACGAGAAGGGGGGGGGTAAATTAACATGAACGGTTTTTTGAATTTTCATTTGGGGAGGAAGGAACTGCAGTGCGTGTTTTGAGGGCATTGCCAAGGTAAAAAAAAAAAAAAATAAAATTCAAGGTTAAAAAACGAACGTCCGCCCATACACACACACACACTCACAATCTAATGACACGACATTTTTTTTTTTATAATATACGAACCTTCTATCGTCTCGTATGATTTCGGAAAGGCCACCATCTGTAAACCTTTTTGTTCTCAAACAATTAGCGTGATAATTACGATTGTTTAATACTTTCGGACGTGACGAATATGAATACATGACCAAAGGTTTATCGAAATTTCTATAATTTTCTCCGCTGTTCAATGAATTATTTGAACTTTTTGACGAATTTGTTTTAGTATCTTTTGACAAACCTAAAAGTATCGCAATTTCGTGGGGGGGATCTAAAAAAACTCCCGTTTTAACCGTCGTTATAAATTGTGGCCTTTCTTTTTTTTGATTATTTGTTATTCCCCCATTATAACCCCCGACGTTGATTGTTGTTGTCGTTGTCGTACTTTTTCCTCTGATGTTATTATTTTGCATGATGACACGTTGTACGTTTTTATCATTATTATTACTATTATTATTATTATTATTATTATTGTAATTTAAATTATTATTAACCTCTTGTACTTCCTTATATAAATTTTTTTCCTTTTCCGTATCGATTTGATTTATTTTCGAGTCTAAATTTTGTGAAATTATAAATTCTGATTCAGTAACAGTCATTTTTTTTGTAAATTATTATTATTATTATTATTAACTATTAAAAAGAAAAAAAAGAAAACAAAATGGCGGCGATTTTATTTTTTTTTTACCCTATTCGGTTACGCGTAAAAAAAAAATGGAAAAATTTCGATTAACCCGTACGGAAAATTTTTTTTTAAAGGAAAATCTTTAAGTGATAACAAATGAAAATTGATAACGCGAGGGAGATATTCGGGAAAATTTTTTTTTCACCTTGAAAAATTAAAAAAAAAATCGATTGGGGTGAAATCGCCCCCCAAAAAAATACAAAAAAAAAAAATTAAAACGCACGTTTTTCTATCACCTTTTTTTTTTTTTTTTTTAAAAAAAAACACAGTAAATTAATTAAATAAAACACCTGGAAAAATTTTTTAATTAACGAAACACTTATAAAATGGCAGTAGCAGTAATAATAATAATAATAATAATAATAATAATAAAACACTCCACCGGTTAAAAAACGGAAAAACGGAAAAACAAAAAAAAAAAAAGTTTACGTCGATTAATTTAAAACAAATGACTGAACAAAATTAACCACAAACCGGACAATGTCCTTCTTATTCAAAGCGCATGACTTGATTTTATTTCTGTCCGGTTTTACCCCCCCCCCTCTCCGTCTCCCCATATTTCTCCCCATCGGAAAAAAAAAAATTAAAACTTTTTATTATTATTATTATTATTGATTCGGGGAGGAAATTGAATTTTATAAAATTATTATAATTAATATTTTTTTTTTTAATAATTGTACTTTTCTTCTTTTGCTGTTTGTTGTTAGTTGTTGTTTCTTCTGCTGTTGAGAGATTTGATTTTGTCGGAAAATTTATCGTTAAGAGATCCTATTTTTTTTTTTTTCTGGGAAACGTGGAAGAAAAAAAAATCGATGATGGATGTTTTTGTTGTTGTTGTTGTTGTTGTCGTCATGAGATAAAATTGGTTTAGAATTTTAAATTAAATGTGTAATTTCGATTTTTTTTTGTTATTTCTCTCTCTCTCTCCCCCCCTACCTCCCCGCTACCTCCCCCCGATTCCTACCCTCCCTTTCAGGCCGCTTACGCTGCCACAACCGCCTTTTTTACGTGTCAGTTATTGAACGTTTCAAAAATTTTTTTATTACGATTCGTTCTAAATTTTTTGTTTTTTTTTTTTTGTCCAGAAATGATAATGAATTGTAATTTATTATTATTATCATCATCGTCGTGTAATTAACGTTCGCTAACGAGTAGATAAAAAAACAAACACGAAAGTGACACGTAAAATAAATTTTTGGAGAAATTTATTCGTTAAAATAAAATCCATGAAAAAATTCTGGAGAAGATGATTTATTCTTATCAATTATTTCTTATCATTATTAAAAAAAAGGAAATTAATAAAATCTGGAAGGACAGATAGTATATTTAATCTGGATTTTTTTTTTTTTCCAGGACGAAAATAATACTGGACTGGATGACCAAAAAGACACGAAAACTGGAATTTTTCCCCCGGCTGTCTGCTCTCTCTGTCACGTTTAAATGAATATTTTAGAAAAAAAAAAAAAAGCGGATCGTTTAAGCAGGTAAGAAATTTACTGGAGAATTTTTTTTTACTTTTTGGAAACTCCCCTCTCCCCTCGAAAAAAAAATTTTCACCCCAGATCGAAAAAAATGTTTAATTACTTCCGGTAAGTCAAAATTTCCGCAATTTTTTTTTTTTTTTTTTTACAAAAGAGTTTATCGTCATCATCATCGTTATCGTTATCATTATTATTATTATTATTATTAAATTTTAACGATCGGGGGTTATTAGTGAGTGACTCACCTTATCGGTGGATTCCTGTACATTTTCCTGGTGACCATGACAGCTCGAGGGGGGCTCGAGTACATGTATTGCATTGCATTGATGCGATCATTTCCGATTTTCGGAACTCCGACACCGTCTATCGATGGACACTTCAACATTATTAATTATTATTATTATTATTACTTTTATTCCTCTTTTCAATTATTATTATTATTATTATAACGAATCGTAAATTAAATTGTAAAAATTAAAATCACTTGATAGTCGATTCTATTATCACTTGGCGACGATGCGTCAACATCCACCCGAATATTATTATTTTCATATAAATTATTTTTTCAACTTTTATCTCACACATATAAAATAAATGATGATGGTGATGGTGATGATGATGATAATGATAATTTTTTTTTATTTATTAAAACAAACGGAAGGTACAAAAAAAAAAAAAAAATTAAAAAAAAAATAAAAATAAATAATGAGTTAATGATAACAAAAATAATATTTGGAAAACGTTTGTTTATTTACAAACATTGCAACGCTCATGGAAACTGGGGGATTTAAATTGAATTGTAACGACATCTATCGAGTAAATTTATAAGTTAAGAAAACTGTTTTATCTCCCCGCGCTAAAACTCCTGTGGGAAAAGGGGAGGAAATTATTATTAGGGGACGTATTTTAAATTCGTGTAAATAAAATAATTTTTTTCGAAAAAGTAAAGTAAAAACTTCTTAATATTGTTCGTGTAAATAAGTATAGATGTCGTTTTAAACAAAAACAACAACAACAAATTGTTGATACGTTATCAGTTTTCGTGTTGTTATTATTTTTAAATTTAAATTTTAAAAAAAAACGCGGCGTAAAAAATACTCCATATTTGATTTGAAAAATTTACAATTGTTTTCGAAACGTTGCGTCAAAAGAAAATTAATAATAATAATTTAAATAATAATAAATGATATAAATAATCGTTAATAACATATATATTATTTTGCTTACTTCCATGAAAAGCTATCACGTGACTCTTTTTTTTTTTTTTCAAGTTCATGAATTGTTTTAATTAGTCACGGTAAAGTTGTTTAAACGCGAGAAAGAAGTAAAAATTAAAAAAAAAACTGCGCGAATCGTATTAATATTATCATTATTATTTTGTCGCGGGTAGTGAACATAAGGGTACTACGCTAGCGAGTGCTTGAATTAGTTCCATTAGCCGTGTCCGTTGTTTGCAATTTGGTTGTTGTGGTTGTGGTTGTTGTTGTCGTCGTCGTGGTCGACAAACTTTTAAATTTTTCCATCCGTTCACGAACGCACGTTTTGATTCGTTTGTTTGCCAATAAAAAAAAAAAAAATGATATTAATCAATGTGTGGAAATTTGATTGATTGATTGATAATCGTATTGAGTATAGAATTTTCTAGGAAAAAAACCGGGAGGAGGGGGGCGCTGGAGAGGGAAATCATAAATTTTTACATCGTTTTTGTTGTACGACGATGAAATGAAAAAAAAAAAAAAAAATTTTATTCCTTTTTTTTTTTATTAAAAATTAAATTTATTGGTTTTTGTTTTGATAAGGGTCAAAGGTCAATTGATTTATAAAACGTTCGAATCTTGTTGATTTTGATTGATACGCTCTCTCGTGAATATTTTTTTTCAACAACAACAAAAAAATTGTTTTTTATTTTGTGTCGAATATTTTCTCTCGTTTTGATTTTGTCGTTCGATAACGTCGGAAAACTCTGCTCCCCCCCCCAGAATCTTCTGCTTACTTCAACCACCTTCTCCTAACCCTCCTCCTATCCCCACTCTCACCCTCACGATTATTATTATTATTGTTAATTTTTTTTTTTTAGCTCATTGCGTTCGATTTTATTTAACTAAGAAAACTATTTAAAAACCTTCCAAAATTAATTATTTACCTTTTCCCCACCTCCTTCCCCACCTTATACCACATCATCATTATCATCATCATCATCATCATCAACACCAATCATCATTATTATTATTATTATTATTATTTTTGTTAATTAATCATCACCTTTTCACCTTTTCGTTTTTTTTTAAATTTGATTTTGATGATTGGACGCATTTACCATCATTATCATTATTATTATTATTATTATTATTATTATTATTATTATTATTATTATTATTATTATTATTAAACATTTTACGGCCTATTAATAATTACGAAACTCTTTATTTATTTATTAATTTATTAATAATAATAATAATAATGTTAATAATAATAATGGCGTTAATCGTAATGATTATTAAAATCGTTTAAAAAGTGCGTAATGAATTTTTACGTTTGTTTTCCTGTTTGTTTGTTTGTTTTTGTTTATTTATTAATTTTTTTTTTTGTTTAAATAAAACTTTATGTACAAAAAAAAAAAATAAATCGTTCGATAGATCGATTTATCGATCGATCGGGTAAAAATGAAGAAATCATGCGCAATTTAAATATTACGTACGAATGTATGTTTGTTATAATTATAGTAATCAAATGTAATTTAGGTGAAGAATTATTATTATTATTATTATTATTATTTTAGTTGCCTGGTCGAAAAACAACGCGGGGGGCAGTTGGAAAATGTGTAATTATTATTATTATTTTATTGAATTTGATTTTTAATGTAAATTTAAATAATTGTCGGTAGCAAATTTTTTTTTTTTTAATGTTGGGTAATTGAATGAGTAAAAGGTTCAAAGGTTAAAAGGTATTAAACGCGATTTAAGGTATTAACGCGCGGTTTTTATTAATATTTATTTCCGGTTTAACTATCTCTCTCTCTCTCTCTCTCTCTCTGTCTCATTTTCTCTAAATATGTGTCTCTTTGTTTTCTCTTTCTTTATTAAATTATTATTATTATTTTTTATTTTGTCTCTTTTTCTCCTATTACCGTCGATTTTCTTTTCTCTCTTTCTCTTTCTTTTTCTTTTTTCCTCTTTTTTATTTTCTCTGTCTCTCTCTCTTTGTCTCTCTCTCATTATTGTCATTCTTCCTTTTTTCTTTCTCTCTTTTTCTATTTTAATCTCTTGTACTCTATATTCCTATTTTCCTTTCTTTCTTTTTTTCCCTCTTTCTCTCCCTTCCTTTCGCTTTCTTTTCCTTGTTTGTTTCTCTCTCTCTCTCTTCCTCTCTTTTTCATTTTTTTTTCTGCATATTTTTTTTTCTATCTCTTTAACTTCCCGCCTTTTTCTCTTTC